AAAAATGAATAGTGATTTCGCCTACCTTCATCACTATCCAAACTTCATCGCACGGTCACAATTGTCTAGTAGTTTTATAATTTTCATATTTTGTTTACTAATCAAAATAATCTAAAATTTGGAGCATATGTACATCTTAGTGAAACGCACCTAATAAAAATAGTCTTTTGGGTTTTCTTTAAGATCCTGAACTTAGCCACCAAACTCCGAATACTCGGACTCGTAGCGCACCTGAGTTACTCGGCCGAGTCCAAGTTTGCTCACCCAAGTAGTCGAACCTTCCTCAAAGTTCATTAGAAACTTCAAAAATCTTTTGAGTGGAGGAGCGATGCACCCTAGCGATCAACCTTCAGCAGTTTGGTGTGATGTCAATTTTCCATCCAAAAATGAACTGGGCTTATTAATTTTGTTAAATAATCAATGTACGCAACCCATTTTTGGCATGTGCTCCTTTCATATAGGCCATTTTTTTGCTCTTTTTACGTCGTACGTATCTTTCATTGGTTAACGTCCTGCAATGAACTGATAAAAAAAAAAATTTAGCCTTACTCTTGGTTTTATTGTTGAATCATGGCCTCACTACAATTGTTTTTGTTTGATCCCTTGTTTGGCACTCTACTTTTTTTTTTTAGAAATGTATACAATGAGACAATTTACTTTTGGTACAAGAAGATCATAATCATTAGTGATTGTTAAGTTTGAAATCGGATGGTTGAGGATGTGTCATTGTTTAGAGACAAAATCTAAATCAAATGTTATGACATACTTTCATCCATTAGATTTCACATCTAATGGCTAAAAACGATTGTGACATCTTTCTACCAAAATATAAAACCCCTTCTTTCTTTTTAATTACTACCCCACTTATCAATTCTTATCGTTTATTATTTACTTGGGCAAATCTATCGAATCGTAATTGACTGAATAACAATTTGACATCTCACCCATTCAACAATTTATGACGCATAATGATGTGCATTTTAATGGGTTATATAAAATTGATAAAAATCGATTGGCTATTTGAAATTGGATCAAAAGAACCGAATGGTATTCTGTTTTTTTTTTTTGGGTGAATTGGTGGGGATGTCAAGCCCCTACCCATTCTATTAAAAGACATAAGAATATATTACAAAGACAATCCTTTTACAACCCCTAGGGAGGGAACACATCAGATAAAAGCCAAGGCATCAAAACTGGGGGGGAGGCGAGCACGTCACACCGTTGCTTCATCTTCAGAAACCGCCTCTTTGGCCAAGAGATCTGTAGCCATATTAGCCTCTTTGTATGTATATAGGATCTACAATTGATGGGCTGCAAACGATGCGAGCCTAAATGTAAAGAACCGAATAGTATGTTAAATATTGAATTATCAACCTCCCATTTATTAATGTTTGATTGGTTTGTTACATTTATTTATGGGAAAATTTTATATAGGTTGCAATCTTAGGCTGTAGAAAAATGCATGCTTCAAAAATCTATGGGAAACAGTTGTTTCGATGTCCAAAAAACCCTCTAATTGATTATTTTGATCTTGAGATGTACAAATGTTAAAAAGAAAAATCAATAGAATTTTAAAGTCCCAAAAATGATACATCTTATTATATCCAGTTCATCCATTTTCAAGATTTTCATGTGCTTGTAAATCTGCTCGATATATACTATTTTTTTAGTTTTAAATTTCATAATATTAGATTTTCCATTTATTATTAAACTTTCCGTCACTAAAATTACATATCTCAACAACTTTTGAAGGTGTGGCTTACTTTGGACGTTATACAAACTGCAAAATTTATTTAATTGATTAACGGTAATGTGATGCCGGTCGTTGTCATTGTTTAGATGGAAACTGGTGTGCTTGACATGCACTCTTGCCAGTTTCAAACGTGTGCTACAAAAGTCTAAAGAAAGCATCCATCCACCCTTAATCATGAAGCGACAGGGACATTCTTTGCAAGCATGAGAGAGAGAGCTTTCATTTCATGGCATTGCATCTTGTAAAAATACTTAGAGAGAGAGAACATATATAACAACAAAGGAGGGCCAACCCCCATCATCTTTCTTCTTTGGCTTCAGGGTGTAATGGGAAGAGCTCAAGAGTCTTATCTGCTTGAAACCTACTTCTCTCCTCCTCTTCCAAATCCAAGCTCTGAAGTGCCCAACTCCTGCATTTGCGCTTGAAGAAACACCCTTCCCCTTCTCCCTACATTCATGCCATCAATGTTTTATTAATTAGCATACAAAAACCCATCAAGGAAACATATTATTGTTGCTAATGTGCACTAGGGAAGGTACATCGGCAAGTATGGACTGTTCGATCAAGTATTGGGTGGTGAAGATGGTCGCAGAACAGCAGAGTTCAGTGGGATCATGTCAATACCACCATCTCCACCATCCATTTTTCTTAATGAACGGGTGAAATATTCCCGGTGAACTTTAATGTACACAATGTGTGAGCACCATGATAAATAGTGTAATAGTGTACAATCCCTTAATAATGTGGCTTTAGGGTTCAGGACAGCCGCGAAAAAAAAAAAAAAAAGGTGAAGATTTATTTAGGGAAGAGGTTTTGGAAAGTCAATATGTTTGACTCACTTTAATTTTTTTTTTGGGTAAATCAATGGGGAAGAAAGCTCCCTACCTATTTTTCATTAATAAAGGATAGAAAAAAATTACATCATATTATTTGACAACCCTACACTAGGGAAATTGCACCACATCATGAACTAAAGGAAGGTGAAAGAAATCCGGGCCCTAGAGCGTCAAATAAAAAAAGGTAAATCAGTGGGGATTTGGGTCTCACTCTTTGATGAGAATAGAATCAAGACTTGGGCTCGATAGTACTATCACCACGGCTCAGCCCATTCTCAAAATGGAACCATGTCTTGGCGGGACTAGAAGTGCAATCTCTTTCCCACCTCTACCTTAGAAATGGATTTTGGAACTTAATTTTGTGAACCACGATGACAATCATTAAATTTCAAAATGAATGATTTTAAACTTTATTTTTGGAGGGCTAATTTTAATTCTTTTAAAATAATGTCTGGAAGTTAAATATTACTTTCTAGTTTCATGAATCCGGCCGTTGACAATATATTCATAGAATTTTAGCTCCAAAATCTTAAGATAGATTTTTGAAAGAGACAGCATTTGAAGAAAAACACGACCAGAACTTTTCTCTCCTCGTTTTCAAACACAACGTGGTCTGCTTCACATTAGCCTGAAACATCACCTCATCAGAGGCCATATGGGGTTAAACACTCTCTCTCTCTCTCGATGTCTGGCTCAGAAGGGCTCACCTTAGCGGTGGAGGAAGCTGCGGCGATGGTGGTGGTGGTGGTGAGGCCGAGAGTGAGGGCGCCGCTAGTGCGCTTCTGCTTCTGTCTCTCTCGTGCCTTATGGTTCTGAAACCAGTAAAACACATTCTTCCCCTCTATCTTCCCATACCTCCCTAGCTGAGCAGTGATGTGCTCAATCTGCTGCGCGTTCGGGGTCCTCATTCCTCCTCTATAAAGCATCTCCAAAATGGCAATCTGTTCCTGCGTGGGGTTCCACCGCGTGCTCCCCACCTGCGCCTGGGGCATAGCTTCTGCCGTCGCCTGTTGCTGCTGCGCGGCTTCAGCCGCTTTGCGGGGAGGGCAGCGAATGAAGGTGGGGGTCGCAATGCCGCTGTTGCTTTCCGAGGAAGGAGTTGCCGCCGGTGTAGAGAGAGAAAGTGTGAGGGGGCGAAGGCGCTTGCACCTCACTGTGGAGGCCTCGTGCTCCCACCGAGTTTCGGCTGCTTGCTGTACGTTCATGGCTTCCCATGCTGTGGCCATGGCCGTGGTGTGGGTATGTATAAGAAGTAGAGAGATATCGAGAGATGTTGAACCAGAGAGGAGGGGAGGGGGGGGGGGCGGGGGGGGTGATATATGTAGTGAGATTGATGAAGGTTAGAGAGGGAGGGAGGGCGTGCAGTGCAGTGCAGTGGGAAGAGACCAAATGATGAGCTGAGGTTGACTTGGGGTCGAACAAAATGGATGACACACACGCACCAAATATTCTCGACTCAAATCCCTCCCTTTTGTTTCTTGTTTGCTTTGGCGATAATAAAGGCGTCCTTCTTCCCCTTTCTTGCTTTTCGGTGGTGACTCTCTTGTTTCCTCAACTTTCCCTTTTCACTCTCTCTCTTTCTCTCTCTAGAATGATGGATCTTTCTTCTCTCTCTAGAATGATAGATCCTCTCTCTCGCCTTTTCTCTCTCTTGGATGATGAATCCTCACTATCTCTTCTTCCTCTCCTTTTCTCTCTCTTGGATGATGGATCCTCACTATCTCTTCTTCCTCTCCTTTTCTCTCTCTTCTTTCTCTCCTTTTCTCTCTCTTCTTTTATCTCTCTTGGATGAGGAATCCTCGCTCTCTCCTTTTCTCTCTCTTATTTTATCTCTCTTGGATGAGGAATCCTCTCTCTCTCTCTTCTTTTCTCCACCGTGGAGTCTCGCCCCCCACCCAGTGGGAAGGAGGGCAAATCTAGACCCCACCAAAATTTCATAATCATCATTGCATTAAAAATTTGAGTGACATTTCACTACAACTAATTGAAGTTCAATTCCTCTAGACCACACCCAATTCTTAGAGAAAAAAGAAAATAGGAGAAATTCAAATTTTATTCTTCTCAATCTTATTCCCCATTGGATGCACAATATGATGCCCCATCACCAGCCAACCAGGCCATGTAGAAGAAGTAGAGCATCCAAGGACCAACAATCCAAATTTTATCCAAATTTTAGAATTTTAATTATGGATGAAGTTTCTATAGGGCCTTGGCTTCATCAAAACAAAATAAAGCCTCACCTCAAATCCTCGTCCGGGAAGAACTTTTGGCATCAAAAGTCTACATGATGGCTATAAAATTAATTTTCAATACCATCAATAAATTTTGAAAGTCAAAAAATGGTATGGATATTGAGGATCTTTGAACATTTATTTTTAGGGCGAAATAGATCATCTAGATGATTTGTTACAATATACACGATTTTTACAAATTGAAATCCTAATTTTTTTGCACAACCATAATGTTCAAGTTGAGATGATCTATTTAAAGATTTTTCAACACTTGAATTGCAATTTTTGATGAGTTATAAGGTGAAGCTTTACATATTTTGATAGACCTGCAGCCATATCAAACCATTTTCCTTTCATAATTATTTATGAAGGTGGCCTCCTCCTTTAGCTTTTGAAAGGACATCAAGGAGTGGAATACACCCCACAAAGATCCACATGACACAATGGTCTTGAGCCTCATGAACCTCCAATCAATGCTGGTAAGGGTACCTGACATGAGCCACGTGTAGTTCCCACTCTCTACACATCACCATCCATCCATTCATTTGAAGGTGTCAAGGATAGTTGGGACCATTAAATTTTCCATGTATAGTAATAACTTCCGGAATATTGAATGGGAACAATTGGAGAACGACACCGCAATTCATGGGTCGATTTC